TCCACATGCCTGGCCACTACGTGAACACGCCCTCTCCCATGGGCAGCATAGCTGCGGTCGGAAGAACATTGCAGTAGTGCCCCGAGCTTCGTTCTAGCTGTGGAGGACTTGATGGGTGTCGGAGCCTGTGCAGCCCTCACCCAGGCGAGCTACCAGGGACAGGTGCTGAGGGGGCTGGGGGAGGCTCCTGGCTAACACCCTGCCAGGCCCCCGGTGGCCCCTGGCTTTGCCACTGAGGCCTCACTCAAAGCCTCAAGTCCCCCCTGAGACCTCTGGCTTCCTCCCACAGATGACATCCTCCTGTTAAAACACAGGAGGAAGACATCTAACCGGCCCCGCCTGGCCTTTCGCCGGATGCTGTCTGAGCCCTGGCCTCAGGGTGCTTGAGCACTGACACCGCGCCATCCACACCTCTCCCACCGGCACCTGCCACCCACCTGTGAGTTACCCAGGACCTGGAGAGCAAAGAGCAGATGGCTGAAATCACTCCGGAGCCATTGCTGGTGGCAGGCAGAGGCCCTGTTTTAAGTTTCCTTCTGCCTTTCCAACCTGTGTCACTTCCTCTCGCCTCTCGCCCAACCCTTGTTGTCCTCTGGGTCCTGTGTCTGGTTCTAGCCAGACCCAGGGCACTCGGTTCTGGGCAGCCCTCACCTGGCCTGCCACATGCTAGGCACCTCAGGGGACACCTGTGGGACCCTGCACCACTGTCCAGAAGTGCAGGGGAGTAAATGCCACCCAAAGCGCAACCCCAGATGACAAGACCAAGGGTTAAGTCTTCTCCCCTTCGTGCTCCAGTGGACACTTCTCCAGAGCTCTGGGAGGGTTCAGGGGTCTAGGTCCAGCAGCCCGTAGTGGGGGTGCCATCAACCGAGCACACTGGTCCTGGCTCCCTCTCCTTCCCTGCCTCACTCCCTTGCTCCCAGCTTCCTGGGGACAAAAACCCTCACTGAAAAGGCCCAGGCTGAGGCTCTGCTTTCTGGGTGCCCAGGCCAAGAGACAGACATTCCATGTGATACTCAGATGCCTGCATCACACCCACTCCAGATGTTTGCTCAGCTGTCCCTTGAATGAAGCCTCTGGTGGGAACCTCATTACTTCCTGCAGCCAGGCCAGTGACGGAGTCCGGACTCTGGCTTCAGGTCAGTCGTGTGTGCCAGAAAGTCATGAGATAGTGCCTGGCACACAGGAGATGCTTAGCTAATGGGGATCTCCCCTCTCTGCAGAGCTCCTGATGACCTGGTCCATCTTAGAACAATGCAGATGGGTAGAACGACGGCTTCCATCCATTAGTTATCCCTCAGGAAACATTCCTTGCGTGCTTTATGGGCAAGGTGCTCAGTGGGGTCTTCATTCTCCCCGTGCACCTTCACAGGACACGATTTCAGGTCTCTGTAGGACTCCAGTGGTCCTCCTCATGACAGCACTTTGCTCCTCCGCCCAGTAGGGGTGGGGTCACTCCAGAGAGAATGGCTGAGCTGGGAGTCAGTGCTCCAAGGGAGAGCTGAGAGCCCTCAGAGGAGAAGGGAGCAATGGAACTCCTGGGCTGTCCCCTCAGGGTGCTGTTCCTGATTCCACCATCACCCACTGGCCGACCCCTGCCTGTGGCTGTGGGGACAGCAGCGGGGTCTGGGCACCCTCACCCTGCACCTAGCGGACAACCAGCTGGAGGGGATGGAAGAATGAGCCAGAGTCCCTGCGGCGGCAACAGAACCTCAACAGGTCTGAGGTCCAAGAACTTGGGCTGCTGAAAATGGAACTGACGTGCTCACGTCCACACCAGGCCTCCGTCCCGCAGGTTACTTTGTTTAGAGACTGGCTGCCGCTCCTTGGTGAGCCATTCAACTAACATGGTGAGTTCCCCAGCCACCTCAAAACACGAGATGAGACCGTTCCAGCTCTGGCCACACATGGCCAGGCAGCTGGCTGCTCCCCTGAAAACATGCTGACTCTCCAGGGCTCTGGCCACCGTGGCAGCCCGTCCCCTGGAGGCCAAGCACACTGCCCTCCTGAGTGCCTGGCTCTTCCTGGCCTCCCGGCCGCCCCACTGTCCTGGCAGGTGGAGCTGGAGCTCTGCTGGGGTTCATCCTGCCAGGAAACCTGCGAAGCACGTCCACAGGTCTTGCAGAGCTGGCTCTTGGGGACGCCCGGCTGTTGTTGGAGCTCGAACTCACCCTTCCCTGTCGCCCTCAAGGAAGTCTCACTGTGGGTCTGGGGCCCAGCACCCAGACCTCACTGCATCTTGGCCCCAACACCAGCCTCTTAAGTCCCTGTTGGGCAGTTTTTAAATTTGAAAGCCCTCGAAACTGGTGCCAGGTCTTCTGAATACAACCGGAACCCACCCTTTAGTCTGCACAAGTCGCAACTGTAACAGAAAGGTCATTCCACGCACCCGCAGCGGGAGTTTTCTGTGCCTCCCCTTACATGCCCTGTGACTTCATTCATATTTTCAGTCCCCCTGAGTCCTCCCTCTGTCCCTCTGGTGCGGGCAGGGGTCAGTCCCCAGGGCCTGGTCTCTCTGTTGAGAATCTTCTCACCTGTGAAGGGACTCGTCTCAGGCCTTCCCCCAGCCTCAACCCTGCATTTCTGAAGTGCCTCCCGGCACTCTGTCGGCAAAAGGCAGATAATAGCCAAACTGTGATTACCCGAAAGGCCGTAAAAACCAAGTTTCTGGCAGCAAGAGAGGTGCAGGAAGCAAGACGGGGCAGCCAAGCCGAGCTCGACACCACGTTCTGTGGAGGCGTGAGGCACCCGGTGTGGCCCCCCACCTCTTCCTCCCACACGCACGGAGGAGGTGCTGGCTCTAGGCCCACGGGAGTTCTGGTAGCTGCCATGAGACTTCTTACCTACTTGCTTAAAATAAACTATTCCCAATATGCCAACCTTTGGAGAACATTAGGTCCTTGGGAACAAATTCCCAGACTGCCTTTATCCCACCGTAACAAGGTGGCATCTTCACTCCTCTGACCTAAGAGTTTCAACCTGTACAACAGGCTTTGCAAATACAGACGCAGGTTAAGGAAAAACTACATTTGAAGTGATGCTTAAAAAACCTTCGGCACAAGTGTGGCCGTGCTCACACTGTTAGTGTGCGGAACCACCACATTTAACCCTAGTCCGGGCTCCAACCCTGCTCATTGATTGACATCCGCTGGGACACAGCCCAGGTGGGGAGAGTGTGCTGGCCGGTCTACCAGCTCCAGGCAGGACTCAGTGGGCCCCCAGGGGCCTGTCTCACCAGGAGAGGCAGACGTTCTCACAGCTGAGGGGACCCCACCCGGTAAGAGAGTCAGAGCCTCTACTGAGCACAGCTGGAGGGGGCACCTGTGGGAAGGTGTTCTAAGGCACCCACACCGCAGCCCCAGAGCCCCGGGCAGCCCTTCTCCTCCCGGGGACGCAGACAGGAGGGGCTGATGCCAGCCAGGGGCACAGCCAGCCCCCTGCCCCCCTTCCTTGCTGGGACAGCTCAGGTGTCCTTGTCCACCCCACCCCCCCTGCCAGGTTTCTCCTTGTCCACTGTCGGTTCAATCAGAGGACATGTCACCTGCTTGCTTTCTTTTAAAAACGGTTACGCTAAAGGTCATCTGGTTTGGATTTTCAGGTGTAATCACCTGTAAAGCGCGGTTCTCTGGTACAAACCCCACCTTCTCCACGACCTCAGTATTTTTATAACATTTCATTTCACTGAGGACCTCGGAGGGATTTACTCCTTCAGGTGAGAGCAGCAGGGCTGGAGGCCAAGGGCCAGGGCAGAGAGGAGGGTGGAGGGACACAGGGGCTGCCCAGGCTCCAGAGCACAAGATGCCGCCTTTGTCTGGACCCCTGGCGCGCAGTGCCCCCTGCCCCAGCCCTTCCCCTCCCCCAGTCCCCCTGCCCTTCCCTGCCCTCCACTAACATCTACCTGACGTCCCCCTTGCCTCCCTTGCCCTCCCCACGGGCCCGCCCCCTGCCCTGCCGTCACTCCCCCCTCACCCGTCCTCCCTCTCTCTGTGCCCGCTCCCCTAACCCTTCCTCCCCCCAACCCCCTCTACCCTGACCTGGGCCTTCCCCTACCTCCCGCCTCCCGGAGCCCGCCCCTCCCCGTGACCCCTGCCCTCCTCTGGCCCTCCCCCTTCCCACTGACCCACCCCTCCCCCACCCCTCCCCCCGGAGCCTGCCCCTCTCCTCCCAGAGCCTGCCCCTCTCCGTGCACCCAGTCCCCCCGACCTCCTTCCCACTGACCCACCCCTCCCCCCCCCCTCCCTCCAGGCCCGCCCCCTCCCCGGGTCCGCGCAGTGCTCCCCACCCACCTCGGGCTTCCGACCTCTCTAGGCCGCTCCTCTCTACTCCCCGCCGATCGATGGCTCTCCGCACCAATAGGATGCGCCCCAGCCTCGGGCCCCTTCTCTCGGGGAGCTGTTTGCGCACGCGCCGCAGGCCGATGTGGGCGGTGGAGCGCCGGAGGCTCCGAGGGCGGGGCGGCTGCCGGAGCGCGTGGCCATGCGGGCCCGGGGGGACCCCGCGGCCGCCGCCGCCGCCGCTGCGCCCCACGTGGTAGGTGGCCGGGCCGCGGGGGCCGCTTCCGCCCGCCTCTCCCCTCCTCTCCTCCGCCCCCTCCCCTT